GGTGAGGCAATCATTCAGATGTCATCAATTCGCATACCTCGGAGAGATTTTCTGCCTCCTCGCGCTCGGCACGTATAGAACATCCCATTATCATGCCTTTCATCGCTTCGCGGTTATTGAAAAGTCCCTTGTTAGCCAAGAGTGATAGCTTATGGAGAAAATCGCTAAAGTCGCCACCAGTCGAAGATTCAAGTGAAGTTGAAAGAATATCAACTTCTAAGTGCTTTCGCCTAAGACTATGGTATGTATCAATACGCTGCAAGGCGGTAGGTGTAAACTTGAAGTTGTCGGGGTCAGCATATTTATGGTTAATAGCCGAAGTTACGCTGTCGACTTCTTTCAAATCAAGGCATGGTTTGCAGGTTTGAATAGGGTCGTTCTTGAGACGTTTGAAAGTACTTTCGCAAGATTTCGAGTAGATGGCATTCCGATCACCGTTTCTCTTGACCACCCATGTTGCACGTGCGTCCATTGTTGCAAGAAGTTCGGCTTTTTGTGATGAGGTGAGATCGTTCTCGCGGATATTGTGTCCAAAGAGTTCTTTGCGAAGACTGTGCCGGTCAACACCACGATAGATTGTACAAGTGCTCTCCAAGAATTGTGCAATTGTCTGAGTGGCTCGAGGACGAACCCAGGTTTCATCTGTAAGACCTAGGCAAACCGTGTCGATGATGTTCTTGTTGACGGGTTGAACAGCAGGGTCTTTTACAAAGTACGCGCTCAAAAGCGTGTTGGTTTTCAAACGAGCCGTTGCATTCTGACACATAGCTGGTGATAAACGATTTCAAGCAAATCAGCACTGGTTTAAAAATTATTCAAGATGTGAAAGAGCGAAAAAACCTACCACTTTTCCAGTGCACTTGTGCAGCTTCACTTCGCCCTTTGCGCAAAGTTACTGGCGCTGAGCCACAATGACATTTGAGAAGCTTGCCCTTTTCATGGACTTCAATCTTACAACGTATGCAAGGCTGGTCTGCTTTTGAAAGAGGACATTGATTGATCGTGTTTTGTTTCTTTGGCTTTGTTTTTGTTTTTGATTGTTTAAGATTACTTCCAACAAATATAACCTCGTTGTCAGATGAGATCAGAATCATAGTAGATCCACTAGTTTTTTTTTGCTGTCGTTTTGGTGGAGGCTTAGGCTCCTCAGCAATTGCAACATTGAGATCGAGGGTCGGGTTAGATACAATTCGGCGCTTGATTCCATTTGATGGGTTTGGTATGGCTTGAGCAGGTCGAGTTTCACTTTGTAGAGATCCTTCGAGTTCTGATAGAGATAAAATAAGGATCATTGGACCTGATTAGACCGTGAAACATGATCATGAAATATAGAATCAGGGATAAACTTACCCTTAACTTTGCTACAAATGCGCTCAAATTTGAGCTTCACCAACCGATCTGATGCGGAATCAAAGCCACCTTTTTTTTGCAATTTTTTTTCTTTGTCTTCTGGTGAATCCCAGGAAGGGTGCTTGCGTGCTTCATTGACCCAGTCAATCACCAAAGAAATCCCTTCAGGACCTTTTAAGATGTGCTTGTGACCATCATCTCGACCAAACAACGCGTCAAGTTTTCGATTGACTGTCATCCAAATACCTTCGTCCACATCATCCTCGTCTACATCTGGAGGGTTGGAAAATCTTTTATAGATTTCATCTTTGTATGTGGCAGTCACAATTTTTGGAGAAGATTCGACGAGGCATAAGGCCTCTTTCATAACATCATTGAGGAGTGTCATGTTGACTCGTGGTTGAATCTGAGTATGTAGATTGTGTTTGAATTGTATGAAAGTTTGAGTTTGTAGTAATGCGGTTAAAAGTGGTGAAATGTCGTGTGGCTGTGTAAGTATGATTTGGTGGAACGTGGAACGTTGTTAAGCCGTGTGAAGTGGTAGCTCTAGCTCTAACCCGAGACCAACCATCTTTGTCTTAGACCGGGTAGGACCGAGTCAGCCATGGGGGTCTTTTCCGCGAATTTGCCCTAAATTGACCGAAATTCCGACATTTTTCGTCAGAAACATAATTGGCAAAAAGCCAGATTCCGACAGTTTTCGTCAGAAACATCGGTCACAATTTGGCCGAAATTCCGACATTTTTCGTCAGAAACCTCAGCAGGAGCTTTCCTGGGTCCTGCTTTTCATAACTTCTGCTTTGAGCTGGCTTGTCTTACGTTCACTTTCAGCTCTGGAATCTCATCCCATTTTGTAATCCTGA